GACCTCTGAAACGTTGGTTAACATCGACCAGACTACACAGCGCAACAACCCAGACGACAGAAATCTTCAAACTAATGCATCGCCCTGATGACGGAGGCAGTATGACCTCTGAAACGTCGGTAAACATTGACCAGCTTAATATGAAACTGGTGACTGGTATTATACTCACTCCACACTGTGCGTACATGGAAGAAACTCTGTAAATAATGTCAGTGGCTTTGTAATTCCAAACAGTGTTACGGACAAAATAAAAGCCAACACGACCCAGCAATTTTGACTTGTGAGCATCAAGGAGAAAAATATGGAAGAATTGCTACAACTGCACCAGAAGAAACTGAGAAATCATCTTCTGGCTCTGGAGAAGAAGCACATCAGAGCAGAGTAAGAATCAAATCCTAACGAGGTTCAGACCCTCCCTCCAAAGGGGCTGCTTGTCAGACTTTAACAGCAGGGGTTAACAGTTTAACAGTGTGCAACACACAAAGGGGCATGACCAGCTGAACCACATGTAAGCAGACGATATATGGTCAATAAAGTGTAAGTTATTTGACATTGACATGTATCTGCTCAATGAACATGACACAAACCTTACAAAATCTTCAAAGGTTCAAAGGGAGACTAAAAATGCAATGAAATGCTAAAAGAAGCTTATGATCAGATGATTAAGACTACAACTTTAGGTTTCCACCGAAGAATATATTCAAGAAATAACCTTCAAACTCCACTTCCATATTAACAATGCCTTTGACTTCAACTCAAGATAAAAGGCTTTTCCACAGAGTAACAAGACTACTACTTTGCCCCTGGATCATACCCATAAAGCCACGCCCCATCTCCTGTGATGACCTTCGAAAGGAAGATTGGGTCATTACGAACGTGTTCTTAAAGATCATGACATACACTAATGAACTGCTGGTCTTGGCCGTCAGTCAACACGTGGCATAAATTTTACTGTGTCCCGTCTCAAGTGTGATCTGCCAAAGCCATGAAAGTTTAGATGTCTGTTTCAGTGGATTAACTCAAATAACATTCTCGTCTTGTCCTCAAGACGTTCGTTGCTGGAGTTAAATTTATAACTTCAGCTTTTGAGGATGAGTGACACCGAATATTGACAAGTATCCATAATTTGTGATTGCTACCCGCAGATAAGTAGCTGTAGTTATGCACTAAACATTCTCATTTATCCTGTCTGTTGATAGATGCCCTGAACATTCACCAGCTTCAATCGAGGTCAGTCCACTTTTATTAATTTTGCAAACCACTGAAAGGTTTGCATTCTGTTCTGGTCACTGCTATGATTTTAAAGATTGAAGGAGAATTTAAACGTCCAATGGGTATTGAAGAGGCAGAGTGAAGAATTTAAATAAAAAACAGTTGAAGGGCTAATTCTTTTCTGACTTAAGTACCTGTAAGTGCCTCGCACTACAGTTTCTGCTCACAGTGGAAGCACAAGCAAGTGCCAAATTCTGAATCATCTCCTGCCACCTCTTGTATGACTGTCTAACTTCATGGCATTATTACAGCTGAACATGTGTGCAGTAGCTCTGATCCCAGTCACTAGGAGGCAGTGAATGGAGAAGAAAGTTTTTGTAATGGTGTCAATATTTGTCATACTGTAAGACAATTAGATGAAAGATGTGCATCTATGTTTTCAGAATGGGGACAAGAAAGGATTAATCAGACACTACAACTCAAAGAATGTGTACTTTACGCATACCAGACGTGGAACGGCATCTGGCTTGATGAGTGGTCCATTCACGACACTGGCCATACGGGAATGAAGCAGTGTAAGCATTCTTGTCCACACAACGCCCTTCATTCTGGCACCAAATGCATTCTTCCACGGTGCAATTCAGGCAGGACGTGAACTCAGAACAACTACTCGTGCATGCTACTGGCTCCTGAAACATCAACCAAACACCACTTACTTCTTACGGGTCCAGAAACACTACAATAACAGCCATATTGGCCAAATGAGTTTTCTTGATATCTACAGGTGTATTCATAAGCACAACACACAATTTCCCCCTCATATATTCACTTTAAAAATTAAGGCACACTAAAGGAAGAGCCTGTTGTAAGTAACAGGGTAACAGAGAGTAAGAATATCAATATTCATCTCATATAAATAATACCTCATCTCAGAGAAAGTCACCAGGCCCTACTAAATTAGGATGAAAGCAACTCAGAATGAAATCTGGGGTGCACAGTCTTTAGCCTACCAGTGTGCATCATGTGGCACACATAATTTCTAATACTTTATCATCGTACATGCTGAAAAAATCAGTAATTCCATTAAATTTAAATAAATTGTCCACAGCGACCCAAGAGTCAATAAAGGCGAGTGAAACCTTGAGTCTTGAAATAAATAGAGTCCCTGATGTAGTCAGAAGAGTAAAGTTTAAAAGATTATTAATAGACAGCAATTTAATTCTTGTATACTTAGGCAGTAATATAATTTAAATTCCAGAACAACTTACAAGCATTGCCTCGTTAAGGGAAGTCAGGAGAGAGCCTGTTCGTAATATATATTATATACATTATGCTGAAAAAAGGGCACCGACTCTGTGGTATCCGTTAGAATGAGCTAATCTCAATCACTGGACCAGTCCAGTGACTGAGTAGCTGCCCCTTGCCTTTAAAACACCTGATGAGGACAGATCCAGTTCTCAAAATATTGAGTAATTCTATAACACCAGACGATGGACAAAGTCCAAAAACCCTACAATCCACACGCTGTCAGAACATTTGTAAGTTAACCAATGTTTTATAAACTTGGTTTAACAAACCAAGTTTATAAAACATTGGTTAATTTTTAAAGATAACGTAAAACATAAATATCGTACGAGGTGCGATCGGAAACTTTCCAGACTGCGCGTATAAAAACCTGTAAACTTATCTCAGGTATTAAATTCATCCATCACCCTCGAAATAGTTCCCCTGGGAGTGAACACAACGATCCCAGCGCCGCTGCCAAGCCTGGAAGCATCCCTGGAAATCTTTCTTTGTCAGCCTGTCAAGCACCATCTGCGATTCTGCCTGAATCTCTTGCCAAAGACTCGCCAAAACGGCTACGGAAACCTATGAAATGCTAAAGCAAGCATTTGGGGAGTCCGCAATGGGTCGTGCACAAACTTTTGTGGGGCATTCACGTTTTAAAAATGGCCGAACCCCTGGCGATGATGACGAGCGTTCTGGACGACCATCTTCGAGCACAACGCCCGAAAATGTTACGAAGATCGACGTCGTACCATCAACGACTTGTGCGACATTGCTGGGATAGGCTATGGGACCTGTCAGCTGATTCTAAAGGAAGAACTCCACAGGCGACGCATCCTGTCTGAGGACCAGAAGCAGAATCGACTTCTCGTTTGTCAGGAACTCAAAGATCTTGCAAGAACCGACCCCAACTTCCTTTCTAAGCTCCGTGTGACTTCTTCCTCTTCCCAAAGATGAAAATTCAGCTAAAGGGAAGGAGATTTGAGACGATAGAAGAGATTCAGGCAGAATCGCAGATGGTGCTTGACAGGCTGACAAAGAAAGATTTCCAGGGATGCTTCCAGGCTTGGCAGCGGCGCTGGGATCGTTGTGTTCACTCCCAGGGGAACTACTTCGAGGGTGATGGATGAATTTAATACCTGAGATAAGTGTACGGGTTTTTATAGGCGCAGTCTGGAAAATTTCCGATCGCACCTCGTATGTTATAGACCAGACAGGTATTTTACCTGTTGCTCTGTGACATTCCCAACAGACTTGCAGCGCTGTTCAAAGTCCCAGTGGCAGCTGCTGTGCGTGCTGCATGCCTGACAGTTATGAAGCTGATGGCACACTGGTCCCTCATTCGCTTCACACTTCTGTCCCTCACTGCCACTCCGGCTTTGGTACAGGTGATTTGGAACTGTTGGACATGGATATTAAAAACATAACAGTTTACCAAACATGGGCATTCATATTCCTGCAAAAGGCTGTGTTAGAAAAAATCATACTGATGAAAATTAACAAATTGTACATGAAGTATTCTTGTAAGTCCACCTGTTATGCTATATCAGCACGGTCCACCTTGATATGCCCCCTGCCCCCAGATGGTGTGTTTCATGATCTCCAGCATGCAATGAGTCCAGCTCACAGTGTTTGAGCAACTTCAACCAGTGTTCCAAACATAATTAAACATTCTAGAGCCTGGTGGAAAGAAATGACACATCTGGTAACCTCTGGTAGAAATACAGATACTATAAATACTGGGGGGTCCGCAGTGGCTGCATGGTCTGAGGCGTGGGCCTTGTGCCGTTTTGCCGCTGGGACCGTGGGTTCAAATCCCACTCAAGCCATGCGTCTTTCTGTGTTGTACAATGAGAATTCTCAGCTAAATAAAACACAAAATTATTGTCTCACACCATTTTATAAAACCGGGATTTCTACTTCGCTTCTGGCCTAAATAAAGTTTTGTGTTACCTGTGAGATACTTCATAGATGAGCACGTGCATGGGAAACACTTGTTCTGTCACATTAGAATGAGAAACGCACCAGAGTTTCTTCAGACTAGAAAAATTTTGTTATTTTTGAAACCGAGTGCACCAGAACACTACAATGTCAAGCCAATATCAAATTCTGTGTGGTACCAGGCAATATATTCTCACCAGCTTATGGTATGATCAGGGAACCATATAAATGCTATCTTTTCAATCCACAAATGAAATGTCAAGCTTTATTTTCAAGTCGTCATCATGAAAAAGCATAAAAAGATCAGATAGCTTATCGCAAATGATGCAAGAGAAGTTCTTTAACAGCCAGAGTATTGTTAAATCAAGAAACATAACTTCAGCAAGACAGTGTACAGAAACGTTCTTCACCTGCAAAAAGCTGTCCATGAAAAACACCCTCATTTTTCTTCTGGTAAAACAGTGTCTGATGAACAATGACATCACTGCACTTCCAGAACATACCGCTACTTATTACTCAGGGAAAAAGCTTGAGGAGAGATATAGCTCCTACTCATTAACCTAAGCACTAGATGCAGGTGAGTGGTCAGCGTCATACTCTGGCCACACTTTACCCTCAGTACCCATTAGATAGGAGGGTGGGTGGGCCTTACCCGGTGTCCTACGTGAGTGATTAAATGCGAGCGGTGCGATTTGCGTGGGTGAAGCGGAAATATCAAACTGGCTGTTTGTATGGCGCTGTCCTAGGTTACAGTGAATCAGTCAAGAGAGTAAAGCGGCCGGATTCCGAGATCAAATATTTTGATATTTTCGCGCAGGTCGCTGCGCTGGTCAGTAAGGCTCATGAGCAGAAAAGCTCTGACTGTGCAGTACAGGGAAGGTGCATGCGCAGAAAGACCGTGTGCTTCTATTGCAGTCTCTCACTGAGGACACAACAAGCGATTCCCTTATGTCATATGACACCCCATGCTGCTTATCCAGCTCGCACAGCTCGCTTCTTATCGCTCACGTAGGACATTGCCTTAGAGTTAGTCTGGATGCAGAGAGACGCACGCACGCACAGAGGTGCATACACACACACACACACAAAAGAAGGGAGAATCATGCTTAAATACTACACAGTTTCAAGAAAAGTTGGCAGATATGAAATGAAAAAACATTTCACGCCCTGCATTTTCAGGACACACTAGAGCTTTTGAGAAACCTTACAAATACTTTATTTTTGAGTGAAGATGGTCTGTAATTGTTTACCCTCTCTATTACTGAGCTGCAGGTAGTTCATCTGTTACCTTCTCTGCCCACAGAGGCACTTTTCACACTATTTTCCCTGCAGCGTTCATAGCTGCAGCCTCCATTCCCACACCACATGCACTGAAAAGACGTGTGCACACATGACAGGCAATCTGGAAACCCAGCACACAGCTCTGAGTGTGCAATAATGGAAGCGGCAATGGACGAACGGCTCTCTTCTGGACACCGGCTGAAAGGAAAAGTAGAGATTTAATTTCTCATTGTAAATAATGAATAGAAAAGGGCATCAATAAAATCTAGAAGACTTTCCACTAAACCTTGATTTCTGGTGACTTTATTACCATAAACCTTAATACACAACAGTTAAATTAAAATAATCTGAGATCTGCAGAATATAACTTATTTATTCTATTGTTTCAAAAGAAATAATTATAATATTTGACTCTCTTAAAAGGGTAGGCCCAAAGTTACACTAAAAGCAATGCAGCTATTCCCTATAACCATTTCTGTCCTCATCCTCAGGGTACTGACTTGGCTGGTAGCCTGAGAAGAATTCATTATACTTAGTTGCCATGAAAGCTTTAGATCAAGCTTGTCAAACTCAAAGGCTAACACGGGCCACATAAACAAGGTTCAAGTTTATGTGGGCCGCAAAAAAACAAAAAAAAAACCCACTAACACCAACAACAACAACACTTCAATTTTCATAGAAACGTAGGTTTATTTCGAAAAGTATAGTATAAAAAAAAGAATAAGAACAACGATAAAATTAAAGTTTTCTTCCTGACACTTGGCATCTCTTCTCTGCTACTATCTTTCCTACTTCGAGAGAAAACTTGTTCGCAGTGATTACTTTCAAAACTAACCCAAGGTGAATGTCAATAATTCTGGATCTGACAGGAGACTTATTTCCTTTCATAATTGTAAATAACTGCTCACACCGATAAGTACTTCCAAACATGGAAATAATTTCATATGCGAATTTTCGAGTATTTTCAAACCTGGCAGGTAAATATTTGTAAAATCCAGGCACGCCAACTTCACTGAATTTTGCCTTCAAATTAAGTTACGAAATTTTTATTAAAACGTTTCTTACATATCGTTATATTGGCTGGGCCGCAAAAATATTCGTTTTGGGCTGCATGCGGCCTGCGGGCCACCAGTTTGACATGCTTGATTCAGATCATAAAATAGAACTTTTCTACTATTTCCTGTTCATAATGTTTTCCAAATTACTGTAAATTGAAACTGACACAAAACACAATTCACATCAACATTATCATCCTCTTCCCTTGTATTAGAAGTTATTAAGATAAATCTTTATAAGACACTGAGTGTGAGAGTGTGTACTGCATTCATTGGCTGAGCACAGGGTCCAGTAGTGAGTGGGCTCTTGTTAATACACTAATGAACCCTCAGGTTCCATAAAAGGTGGCGATTTTGACAAGCTGAGTGGCAGTTTCTCAAGAAGGCGTCTGTTCCATGGAGTTGATGGGAAAATCAGTTTTTTTGGTCTCTAAATCACACCTGCACTCTTGATTACTTCTGCACTCATGTACACAGCACTACAGCTCGATATCCACTAGTCCTCACGTAAAGATTCTGTCATTGCTCAGTCAGTAATTCATGACTTCCATGCCTCTTCATCATTTCACAGTGAAATGATCTTATCTCTCCACTTCATTTACCTTTATATATGCACAAGTAAATTCTGTGTCATCCTACAAGCCCTGGAACTAGTAGTTGCCTGTCCCCTCTATTGACAGCCACCAGAATCATCAACAGTCATTACATAAGTATCCCAAGAATGCAATAATTTCTCCTTCACCAAAGTTAAGCACATAACCTAACAAAATGCTGCAAATACGTATTCCACATGTACGAGGCGCGTCCACAAAGTAAGTTTCCCACTCGTCCCACAGCTAGCAAACCTTATATTGCGCGAAGCGACTGTGCGTACGTGATAGAGCAATGACGTAGCATGGCGCATGCACTAACGGCACCTCCCGCGTTCTCACAGTAGCATCGTTGCAGCGGTTGAAGATGGAGGTTCTTATTCCAGCCCCCGCCGACTGTGAAGTGCGGTCAGTGATAACGCTAGGCCGCACACGGCTCGACAGACAGCAAGTCTCCTGCAGGAGTTCAGCTGGGAGGTGTTTAATCATCCACCCTACAGCCCGGACCTCGCTCCCAGTGATTTCCATCTTTTCCTACACCTCAAGAAATTCCTGTCCGGTCAGCGTCAGCGTCAGCGTTTTGAGAATGACAGAGAGGCGGAGATGGCTGTCACACAGTGGTTCCAATCCCAGGCGGCAGACTTCTACGACACAGGTATTAAAAGTTGGTCCCACGGTATGACAAATGTCTCAATTCCGGTGGCGAATATGTTGAAAAATAGCTGGACACTTGCTGTATCTGTTGCAATAAATATTTCCATGAAATTGTGTTTTCTTTCTGTAAACGGCCCCAGGGAAACTTACTTGGGGGACGAGCCTCGTATGTTGTGTGGTTCAGTCAGGTTCACAACTCGCTTATCTGAAATATCATCATCCCATCTCAGTCCTTCAGGTGGTATCGAAATACAGAAACAGTCATGTAAGACTTGAGGTTCTCACAGCGGTGAATATGAAGATTTCTGTCTTCTGGGTTATTGCGCTGTGTAGTCTGGTCGATGTTAGAGAAAATGAATGTAACGAAGTTTTCTCTGAGAATTACCTGTACTGATTCAAAGTGAAAATACCAAGTTATGGAGGCTGTCTCTGTCTCCATCACCAGGAAGTGATGTGAAGAGTGACAAGCGATAGTTGATACATGTACGTGGAAATGAAGAGATTGGCACAACGTAGGCGAAAATGGAGGACCACATCAAACCAGTCGAAAGACTGATGACAAACAAATGCAAGTATACGTACCAACCAACAAGTGACGATGGAGGCAGAGGCAGTGTCCAAAACATTGGATTTTCATTGTACATAGCTGGCCGGCCGACCAAGAAGACTTCATTGAACAAAATGGGAAGATCGAGGGAAAATGGAATTCTAACTACTGGTATAAAACTGAAAATGAGAGACAATAAGGATGGATATGTGTGGAAAAAACTTAATAATTCAATGGAAAGTAAGGTGGTGGAGGTAATGGTGATGATATGATAATCATGATGCTGTCTACAAGAATAAAAATAATGGTGATAAGGCCAAAATTAATGTTTAAATAGTGCGGACATGCATTACAAATACATGGTTTACAAAAGTCTTTTGAGCATCAAAATTGTGTTGGCAATGACAGCCACCATGTATCAACCTGCGAAGTAGTTGGTTATCATGTTTGCGCTATTTGAATTCTTCCTCCTCTTTCCAGTTCAATATGGACGCTCGTTGCGTTTAGTATGCTTGTAACATATTGTAATGTGGACCAGTAACATTTCTATAAACAGATGCATAACATGTCTGTGAAAAACCATTCTATAACCACAATCAGACTTGATCTTTGAAAATTAAAGTTCCAACTACTTCTGACACATTGCTCCATATAATATGGTCACTCAACCAGAAAACACAATATGCACACTCGCACACTATTCTACGAGCACATACTGTACTAATTTAACCTTTATCAATGAAATATTATGTCATACATAAAATCTAACTGGCCACATGATGCTGTAACATACCACTAAACCATTAACATTGGACTTAAGAGTCTGGCCAGCATCCCAACAGTACAAGATTTTTAATTCAATTATCCCCACATGACAAAGATTAGGTTAGGTTAGATTAGGTTAGGTTAGGTTATGTTTTAAAAACTTCACCATAAACAGTTTTATTAAAAATTGAAACAATGCTGTTAAGTAGTTTACCTAAGCATATCTGAGAGCATCTGTCCATCAAAGCCTCCATAAATATACAGTGAGTTCTCAAAGATGTTAGCTGAATGACCAAAGCGAGCCAAGTCTGACCTCAGTCCCTGAGGTACAAGTAGTTTGCTCCAACTGTCACATGTCACATCATACACCAACATGTCTGACGAGTAGCACTTGGCTCCGAAGCTGTGCGCTGTGTCATTATGGGTGTTGCCCCCAAAAACAATCATCAGTCCACCATGCAAGAATGTCGCTGTGTGGAGAAAACGAGCTGATGGCGCCGGCATCAGCATCATCCTGCGAAGAAAAAGTCTGGAATTGATATCCCTGTGGTTAAATACTACATAATGAAAGCATACATGTAAAGCTCCATGCATTGGCGTTGCCCTCAGATTTGTGTACTTTGGTCTTCCAATGACAGGACTGTGACAAAGGCAGTCAGTAGAGAGCTGCATGGTCCAGAATCAAGATGAACTGAAACAAAAATACCTGCCACAGATATACACCTTTACAACTATATCAGCTGGTCACTTTATTCCCCACAGTAAAAACACCCAAGATCTATTCAACAGGATTTATACTGACAGATCACTCTGATGTGATAGTACAGAAAAAAATTTCCATCTGTACTGCAGTTAATCAATGCCACTCAGTCTATATGCTGTAACTGTGCTGACGAAGCTATCTAAGCTCAAGCCTCAATAAATTACCATATATTACATGAAAACAAGCTATAAATTTTCATTCCCTAAAACTAGGGTGCACCTGATAATCAGAATACTCTTTTTATTGTGAGATGTCTGTATCGTGGCTAAATAAAAAACGTTGAATTATGGTTTTTGACACAGACAATCAATGCAAATAAATCAGTCTGTATCGTATCTAAATAAAAAACGTTGAATTATGATTTTTGACACAGACAATCAATGCAAATATTTAAATAGCAGTAAATATATAAACAATTATCTCATAAAGAATGGATGAATGAAAGTGAATAAAATAACAAGAGGTAAAATGGCCTTGTTTGAAAGATCACACCATCCTCAATGTTTTGGCAGTGAAGCAAGTTGTTTTCAAACAGAAGCAACTGCATGATCTGAAGTTTTCATGGTGAATAAGTATTACATAAAGAATTCTTCTTGGGCTACCATCCTCGTCCTCAGGGTACCCTGACAAAGATGGTTCTTGAAACATTGGGTGTTTTCTTTATTAACCCACCTTAAACAGCTGGTAGCCTGAGAAGAATTTATTATACGAATAATTGTGTGTTTCTTAAAGGTACTGTTCATTTATTGCAATAACAGAACAATACACTTAAGAAACACACATTTATTTCCAGAGTTACGTAAAATAGCTACTTGATACTGTGCATCTGTAACTGGAATATATAAGAGAAACGCACATTACCAAACACAGAAATATAACAACTGTATGCATGTGATACATGTATAGTTAAACCATCAAAATGTACATTAACTAAACAAGCAAAACACACAACTGAACAAACCTGAAAATTTGTTATCATGTAAATTTTTGTGATTCATCATCACTGTCAACACGGTTTACTTAATTTGCGTCATTCTCTTCCTGACTGCCCCAAAGTAGGTTATTTCCAGTCCCACTCATTTAGTTTGGAACTCCATTCTTTTCAAAGCCTCTGACAACCAAATCCTCTGAAATTGGAACCCAATTGCTTGCCTCAGTCTGCTTTATGTCACATCATCAGTGACCATCAACTAATCATTACTGATGCCACAGACATGCCATATCAAGTGGCTGTAATACGCTTGTAATATTCCTTGATATGACAAGCGATCTTCACTTTATCTGTCCTATGATAATGGACACCGCCCAATAAAAGAACTGAATGTTACCAACGTAGAGCGCCAAGTCCTCTGATCTATACAGTTCTCATCTAACTATAAACTAAATATTCATTTATCCAGCCTTTCTCTCAAATCCTCACATTGACACCCTTGGGAAATGTTTCCTATGACAATGTTCAATGTTTGAAAATTATGTAAGGTGGAAATTTTCATCCACTGGCAGTGACTGGTAGTATGGCCGTATGGTCAATAGTGCTTATCCACTCTGGCATTTTGAACTTTGAGTACCACTGTGTTGGTTCCTCAGTTAAATCATACATCAACTTTTTTTCATATTGTTCTAGCAATATTTGGGAAATAACCACTTTCCTCAATGGTTAAGGGGTTATGGTTCGTGAACCGATGAATTCAAGTACTAACTAACTAACTAACTAGATGGCTTACCGAACCCGAAGGTTCATCACCGAATTAACCAAAGCCCTTCACCGGACCCTGTCCTGAGCCAACAAAATCCAGTCTCCTTCAACTCCTATCTCCCATAGATCCTGTCTGAGATTATCCTCCCATCTACGTCTAGGTCTCCTCAGAGGTCTCTTCCCCTCAGGCTTCCCAAGCAATACCCGGTGCACACCTCTTGTCCCATCCATGAGCGCTACATGCCCAGCCCATCTCATTCTTCTCGACTTAATCATCCTGACAATACT